CCCCCCCCCCCCCCCCAAAAAAAAAAAAGTAGTTTTAGCAAACTTAAAAAAGAAACAGAAATCTCTCCTTGAAATAAGCTTGGTAAGCTGTTTCCTTGCTGACTTCCTCCATAGTCAGCAGAACCACCATGAGTAACTTCTCCTCCTTTCCAGGAGGTTTGTGACTCCAGGGTGTGAGAGCAATCAGGCTCAACTTGCAGCTTTGAGATACCTGCGGGGGGAAGGGTTCAGAGGACTATTGCTCTGTTTGCCATTCTGTGAAGAAATGCCATATTTGTATGCATGAAACACATGAAACACATCCAGGACATGCTGGTCCTGAATTAATAGGCACGGCCTAGGCCTTGGGAAGAGCTGAATTTACTATTTTGAGAAACAAGTGAAAGGATTTTGATAATTCAAAATGACTCCAGCGTGCAACTGTGTCACTCGTTGCTGTTGCTCCCATTCTGCCTTCCCATTCCTTCCTTCTCCTTTGCTCACAGCTCATGTTGCATTTCCCATTACAATGCAGGGATTGTAGACACAGCTTTGCTCAACCTCTTGCAGTTGCTACGCTGTGGAGATCATGCTGAGCAAAATAAGTGTGTGATGGTGACATTATGTCTTTTCAGTTCAAAGTACCAAACTCTGTCCTCAGATACTATCCTCTGTGGGATGTTGCTGTGTTTTTCCAGCAGTGCCCATCAGCAGCATTAAAGCAGTGCTTTGTGCTATCTTGTATGTGCAGTGTTCATTGTGTGGGAATTGCAGACTCAGAGCAGAACCCAATCAGCTGGAACTTGCTTGTTTATCACAGCAGCAGCACAGCAGAGTAACTGTAGAGGTAAAGCAAAGCTCCCTGACTGGGAGGGGCTGGCTTATCTGCATTCAGCTTCTCCCAGGTGGACAGGGGAGGTATAGAATATGTTATAGAAAATCCTGTAGTGAATTAGCTTTGTAGAGAAGGTCAGAGAAGAGCATTTTCCTCTGACTTCACTTTTCAAATTGAACTCGAATTGCTGGAGAACTAGAAAAGAAAATCCTTAACTATTCAGGAGAATGGGAAAACACTGCTCCATTCCTGTGCCTTGTTCTGCAGTGTCCCTGCTCACTGTTTCTGGGTTAGTGTCCCTGAGCCCAATTCTCTTATCAGCTGTAATGATTCTGTGCTAGTGTAATTGGGAAAAAACTCTGGTCTTTAGCTTTTAACCTCATAAATTTTAAACTGTGCCTGCATTTTTAGATTGTGCTCATAAAATACCTCTACAGCCTGGTTGAAATTACAGCACACTGCCCGCAGTGATTTGAAATCAAAGGTCTGCTGAAAAGTGGGTATTGCTGCCCTGACTGAGCTGCCAAAAGATTTAGGTTTAAATTTCCTGATGTAGATGTTTCACCAGTTAGACACCTTTGAAATGAAGAAGTGCTTGTTTTGTAAGCATCCGGGTTCTAACTCTCCTATGCTGCAGCCAGCCTAAAAAAAAAAAAAAAAAAAAAAAAAAGAGAAAAGAGATGTGAGTTCATGAGGCAATTTCTAATGATTCAAAATTGTAAGAGAGTCTGGAATGATGGGCACCTCGAGTACAAAAACACTTGGCAGGTTGTTTGGTGGTGAAAATGCTGATGCCCCTTTTTGCCCTTAGCTTGTTCTACTCATCGGGAGTGCTATGAGTGGGAAATGGAGGATAAACAGTGTCTTCTTGCAGTGCTTGCTTCCATTCTCCTCTCAGAAGATGTTTGATCTTCCTCCCAGCTTCTTCCTCCTCCTTCAGTTGCTGGAGCGAAATGGAGCTTCTGTCTTGCAGTATCACCCTGAAGGCTGTTGGTTATATAAAGCTGGATGTCCCACAGGGTGTGTGGGGGGGGATTAGCCAGTGTCTCATAGAATGTCTTGGGTTGGAAGGGATCCCAAAGCCCAACCAATTCCAACCCCCTGCTGTGGGCAGTGCCACCTAGCAGCACAGGCTGTTCAGGGCCCCATCCAGCCTGGCATTGAGTGCCTCCAGGGTTGGAGGTTCACAGTTCACAGTTTCTCTGGGCAGCTGTGCCAGAGTTTCACTACCATCTCAGGGAAGAACCTCCCCTTGACATCTAACTTAAATCTCCCCTCTTTTATTTTAAAACCATTCCCACACTGACTACCTGTGTAAAAAATTGAGTCTCCTCCTGTTCATACGCTCCCTTCAAGTACCAGAAGTCTGCAATGAGATCTTCCCAGAGCTTTCTCTTCTCCTGCCTCAACAAGCCCAGTTCCCTCAATCTTTCTTCATAGGAGAGGTGCTCCAGCCCTCTAATCATCTTTGTGGCCCTCCTCTGGCCCTGCTCCAAGAGCTCCATGCCTTTCTTGAGCTGGGGGCCCCAGGCCTGGATACAGTGCTGCAGATGGGGCCTCACAAGAGCAGAAGGGGACAATCACCTCCCTCTCCCTGCTGGCCACACATCTTTTGATGCAGCCCAGGATACAGTTGACCTTCTAGGTTTCAAGCACACCACTGGCTCATGTTCAACTTTTCATCCACCAGGACCCCCAAGTCCTGGGCAGGGCTGCTCTCAGTTCTTCCACTCTGCATGTATCTGGGATTTCCCTGACCCACATTCCATGCCTTGTGCTTGGCTTTGTTGAACCTCATTAGATTCACACAGTTCCACTTCTCAAGCCTGCACAGATCCTGTGAAGGGATGGCATCCCTTCCTTCTGACATATCAACTGCACCAGCTTGGTGTCATCAGCAAACCTGCTGAAGGTGCACTCAATCCCACTGTCTCTGTCGCTGATGACGATGTCTCAGAATACCAGTTCCAGGATGGACCCCTGGATGAAAAGACGTTGACCACAAACCTCTGACTGTGGCCTTCCAATCAAGTTGATTCCTTAGGAAACGCTAACACCCCCAGCTTTTTCCTTCTCCCTCAGAAATAGCCTAGTGGGGTCCCCTGGGCTTTGGCAGGCACCAGCTCTCTCTGCACTGCTCCCGTGAAGAGGTGTCAGTCCTGAGCATTCACGCTCTGAGGAGCAAACTGTGGGGAAGGCTCTGTAGCTCCTTTGGTGGGTTTGTGAAGCTGTGAGCAGAGCCTTCTGCCTGCTTGCTCAAAGGGCAGAGCACAGCTTCAGATGTACACGAGTGTGGTATAGGTCCCTGTGTTACCCAGTGCATTTACAGATAAAGGCTTAATGCAAACAAGCAGGTTATTTTGAGGAAAACACCCTGGAGTAGCAAATGGGGATTATGTAATCCTTGTTCTTAAGCAGACATATAGCAAGATATGTTTTACTGTGTACATCTAAAAATAGAGTGAGTGCACTGTGTTTTGTGACCTCGGTTTCGTTCCTCCATTCCCTTTCACGCGCATGCAGTGCTGCCTGCTGCAGCCTGCTCTGCACACAGGCACATAATGGGACTGTCCTGACTCTGTCCTCTGGGTCTGAGCCTGAAGCCAGGTGTGTGGCAGTGTGTCCTTCTTGTCTCTGCTGGGCTCCCCAAGGATGGCGATGGTTGCTGGTTCATAGAATCACAGAAGGGCCTGGGTTGAAAAGGACCACAATGCTCATCCAGTTTCAACCCCCTGCCATGTGCAGGGTCACCAACCAGCAGACCAGGCTGCCCAGAGCCACATCCAGCCTGGCCTCGAATGCCTCCAGGGATGGGGCATCCACAGCCTCCTTGGGCAACCTGTTCCAGTGCGTCACCACCCTCTGTGTGGAAAACTTCCTCCTAAGGAAGTGAGGGTCTCTAACAGAGTGATTTTGGTGTCTGACTTCTCATGCAGAAGAGTGTAAGAGTTCCACTTCAGGCAAGTTTTTCTCAATTGATTTTTCATTCCAGTCCTGTTAAATATATTCACTAAACAAAACAGTGCTGAAAGGGCTATTTTTAGGATTGGAATTTTTGTATGCATACTCTTTGTTTTAGGGCTCTCATGTATCAGAATTAAGTCCCTTACAATAAAGCCATGGGTGAAGGAGACTTTCCCTGAAGTGCTCTAGCTTCAGTGAAAGCTCATTTCAGTGAAAATGTCCCAGCAGGCATTCATAATGATTGCTGTTTACAGAGCTCGATCTCCATCTTTATGACAATGCAGAGCTCTGAATGGGGGGCCCATTTACAAGCAGAACCTTACACGGGTCCCAGTCCTGGGCTGCGTGAAGCTGCTGGGTCAATACTTGCAGAATTGATTTTCTTTGCTTGGCTGTGGCATTGAATGGCTTCTCAGGAATTTTCTGGTCCTCTAACTTTCTCTTTTTGCGAGTTCCCACCGACACTGAGCAGGACGGTCCATCAGGGTGGTGTGTGTGAAGGTTCAGTCTGGCAGCTTTGCAAAGGGAAGACAATAATAATCCATAAGTAATCAAGCAGCAGGAGGAACAGGATGTGACATCCTCTGTTAAACCAAGTTCTTATTGACTTTGGTAATGCCCATTATGGAACAAGTTTGAAATGCTGGTTTACCACTGAAACCTCTAAGTTCTATCTGATGGTCACAGAGTGGGAATTGAACTCCGGAATGAGAAACTTGCAGCAGCATCCTGTTGGGTTGTTTTCCTCCCCCTTGCCTGCAGGTTTGTGCATTGCTTTCCACAAAGGAAGCTGTCCAGGTGCCGTGCGGCTTCTCTCAGCCCAGGAGCTGGATGTTTCTGGCCTCCATCAGTGTGGTTTGGGTACAGAACTGCTTTTGCTGAGCCAGAGCTGAACATTCGTACCATGGGACCTTAGGCACAGTGTGGATAACAGCCAAGTGCATTCAGATTTACATCTCCAGCTTCTTTATTTCTCAAACTGTGGGAAAACAACAGATCCATAGCAGAATATCAACATTCTTTGCAAGGGGTGGGGGGGGAGGATATTGCGTTCATAGAGTCACAGAATCATTAAGGTTGGAAAGACATCTAAGAACATCTCATGGAGCCATCAGCCCATCCCACTATGCCCGCTAACCATGTCCCTCAGTGCCACATCCACACGGTTCTTGAACACCTCCAGGGACAGGGACTCCACCACCTCCCTGTGCAGCTTGTGCCACTGCATCACCTCTCTTTCTGAGAAGAAATGTTTCCTAATCTCCAACCTGAACCTCCCCAGCTGTTGCAGGCAGCAGTGTGCTGTTGACAGTCTGTCAGGTGTCAGCAAATGCCCGGGGGCTGGCAGAATCATAGGGTCATGGAAGCACAAGGTTGGAAAGGACCTACAAGATCATCTGGTCCAACCATCCTCCCATCACCTCTGCTACCACAAGCACTAAACCAAATCTCACAGCTCCTCATCCAGACGCCTCTTGAACACTGCCAGGGACGGCAACTCCACCACCTCCCTGGGTAGCTTAGTGGTTGTATGTGTTTGGCATAGTAATTTGTGATGTCAGTTGCTGGGCAGCACAGATGGAGAGAACAGTAGATGGGTTGTAGTAGGGTGGAAATGTGCATGGATGTTTCCTCAGTGAGGCATGACATCCTTGAATTTCATGGAATTCCATACAGGTTAATTGGCTCTATAAAGGTTTTTTTCAGGATGGACAACATCTCTTTCTGGAGAGGCATTGGAGTAATCTATCCTGAGACCAGAGGAAAATGTGGCTAAAATGAATGATGGGAGATTGTGTCAACAGGGACCATTTGTCACACAACAGGGGATGAGATGCTGTTATAGTCATGTTGTCATTCTTGCTGTGGGACAGAAAATGCAGGCATCCTGTGTTCCACGACTGGCTGTGTATGTGTTCTGTGAAAGCAAGCGTATACACAGTCTGTCAAGTGGTGAATGTACTTAATGGTTTGTCAAGAGGAAGGACATTGGGGTACTTTTGGAGTCAGTGACTTTGTGCAATTTGGATTTGATCATAGAATCATAGAAGCACAAGGTTGGAAAGGACCTACAAGATCATCTGGTCCAACCATCCTCCCATCACCTCTGCTACCACAAGCACTAAACCAAATCTCACAGCTCCTCATCCAGGCGCCTCTTGAACACTGCCAGGGACGGCGACTCCACCACCTCCCTGGGCAGCCATTGCAGTGCCTGACCACTCTGAGAGAAAACGTTCTTCCCCATGTCTAATCTAAACCTCCTCTGGTACAACTTTTGTTTGTTTGTTGCCTGGGAGAAGAGGCCAAACCCCTCCTCATCACAATCTCCCTTCAGGCAGTCTCTGAGCCTCCTCTTCTCCAGACTAAACAATCCCAGCTCCCTCAGCCACTCCTCATACGATTTGTGCTCCAGACCCCTCACTTATTCCAGAAGACAGAAGAAAGAGCAAGGGGAGAAAGAAGTAACTTTCCAGTGTTCACTGTGAGCTGGGAAAAGAAGGGCTGTCCCTCAGACACACACTTCCTTTGAAGATAAAGATCCCTTAGGGCTTGTGTGGCCATTTATTCCCCTGAGATGGGGAAGCAAGCCTGCAGAGACTAACAGGACTGCAGTTTGGTATGGTGAGCACCCTGAGCACAGGTGCATTTGGCCACCTTCAAAACCCACCACAGCTCTTTGCAGAGCTGCCAGAAGGGCCTATGAAAGCATGCTGCCATCTCCCATCCCATGTGGCAGAACGGAGGTCTGAGGAGAACTTCAGCATGGTGAGCCGCCGTGTCAACAAGCAGCCACAAGTCAGAGGGCAATCTGCAAGGAAATGACATCCCAGAAAACAGGCACCACACAGCACATGGCACAGCACTCCTCCCCAGAGGTTCCAGAGCAACCTCAGTGCCACTCACACTTGATTGAACAGCACACTCCTGTATGCCAGCTCTGTGACTGCTCACTCCACCCTCCCATGAATGCTGCCCACAGGTTTTTGTATATAACACGTATTTTAGATACTTACAGTAAATTTGCTTACACCCTCCAGTTCACCAAACTTCATATAGGAAATATCTGCTTTCTTTTTTCCAGCATCGACATCTCCTGCATAGATTTGCTTGATACCAGCCCCTTTGATTAAAGGGACACATTCATCACAAGGACATTTTGTCACAAATATCATGCTTCTCTCGTCTGGCTTTATTTCTCGACACCTACAAGCAGTCAGAAAGCAGAATTTCAGCATTTACATCTTGATAGTTTTGAATGGTGACAACAGGAAGAAGCAAAGAAGTGTTGTGCTATCTAGCACCTGCTCTCACAATCAGCTTATTCCTGCTTAAGTGCAAGAGCATACAAAACCACCTGGTCTGGTTTTACTACCTGTGAATGAAATGCCCCTCCTACCTTTCCATACACATCACATGTGGCATCAGGAGCCTCAACAATTGCCACGCTTCCATATTTCAGGTTATAGCACAGTCCTAGCAGGAAGCAGAGGCAGTGGCTTATATTTGAAAGATGGCTGCCACACACTGGAGTGAATTTCCTTTCAAAACCAAGTTCACTTAGATTCTGTCTGAAGAAACTCCACAGCTGACTGTGTCTGTGCACATCCACGTTCTGCCCCTTAAGTATAAACAAGACTGGGACTGCAAGCCACGTCTCTTCACAGTGACATCGTGCTTCTGTCACAAAATTATTTCTGAACTGTTGTCTCTTTTTTTTTGGTGGTAAAGATCAACTCATTACCTGAATGTCAAGGCGTTCTGCTCAGCATGAATGATGTATCTGAACTTCCTGATTTCCCGATCTTTTTGTTTGTCATCCATGTGTGGAAAATCAGCATATTCAGATCCAACAGGAAAGGCATTGTAACCGCAGCCTACAAAATACATTGCTCCTGTTCCATCACAGCTTCTCTGCAACAGTAAACAAATTAGGGAATTTTGAGATGTTTAAACTGAGTACTGAGTCACAGCATTGTGCAATATATGCTTTCACATTTTGTTTAGTATGCAAGCATTGTAAGTTCACGCCAAGTTACAGCAGTTAGAAGAGAACTCAGCCAACTGCTGCATGTCTGCACAGTGCTGTTCCACGAAGCCACGCAGGCAAACTGCAGCAACACAGACAACAGACCAAACTGGGCTCTAAAGGCTTCCCTTTTTGCATACTGTTAGAGGGAACAAAAAGTGTAAAGGATTTGGTCACCTGGAATACTGACAATTAGGGAAGCAAGCATGCTAAGAAGAGGCAGATACACCGTGGCACTTACTGACCTGATTTACACTTCCCCTTCATCTTGAGAGCATAAGCAGTGAAAAGTTAGGTACAAATAGTGAGAAGTACAGGGCTTTCTACAGCACTGCACACGTGTACAAGTTTACACATGGGTTCAAATGTTTACCTTCTATGCATATGCAAATTAAAAGAAACACAAGCCCAAAGCAGATACAAGCATATACAAGGGCAAGAGAAGGCAACTTTCAAAATACTTACTGCTTTTTCTTCTGCCCAAATAATAGCTCCGACTCCTGTTTTATGATCCTCTGGAACACATAAATTTTAGCAGTAAATAACAAATGAGGTACTTCTAAGTCATGTACATACTAACATATTACATCCTAGAGTAAAGTTGTTTTCTGGATACGAGAAAGGAACGCAGGAAGACCGAGAGCTTTAAAGTGTTGAGAGTCTACTGCAAAAGCTGGGGGTGCTTCAGCAGCAAGGCCAGCCATTCTGTGATTTTGTCAGGTCCATTTTTTGCCAGATGCTGAGAAGCAACCAATATGTATAACTAAGAACACATGTGCCAACAACACATACAGAGCAGCACGACGATCTGAGATTGCAAACCATCAAAACCTCAGATTTATTACTTAATTGCTGCCATTCCTTAAATATGTGGTAATGCTCAAACTAGGAAATTTAACAGAAGAAGCAAGATGAAATAACCAGGAACTCACCCACACGAGATCCATTCCTATCCCCTGCAGTAACAACTCACCTGTCCGGTAGGCGAGCAGCCTGGCTTGTACCATACAGTGCCTTGCAATCTCTTGGGGCAAACCCTGATGGCATGTATCATTTGCTGGCTGTGGTTCACTGCTGTAAAATCCAAAGCAACCAAAGACAGGGACGCTGGCAGCCACCGTGGCCAAGACCAAGACCAGATCTTTCATATTTTGCCTAAGATTGCTGAAGTATGGATTTTCACAGAGGTTCTCCAGTCCTATGGTCATCAATATTTGCTTGTGTGTTTCCTCATTTGAAATCAGGAATAAACTTTCATATTCTTTAATTCTTTCTTGTCTACATGCAGTATAAAAGTCAGTATTAAAGTCAGGCTGGGATTTGGCTATTTTTTTAATAAAATCAAGCTTGGTGGAAGTTTCTTCAATAAACTGCACCATGTAGCACACCAAGGGCTGAAGCAACACACACACCCGAGCACGGCTGTTTGACTTCAGCCTTTCTACTGCTTTGGCATCGAGCTTTGCATCACTGGTCATCACAGGATTGGATGCCTCATTCTGCAAGCTGATTTCAGGATCTGCGGGCCAGTAAGAAATCCTGTTCACTCCAGCTGGAAGAGAAGACAATGCAGAAAAAGGAGCCATTGAAGTACGGTGGGACACAAACCTCAAAAGCAATACATTATTGCCTAACCCTGTTTTTAGTCTTTTAAGGCCCCATGTGCTGCGTAAGGCATGGCTGGGCAATAAGAATGGCAGCTGGTATCAGGAGCCCAACTGATTCGATAACCAGATCATAAACAAAAACAGAAATTTCTGAAGTTCCAACATCTTTGTGGCAGCATAATTTTGCATCTTACCTATAACAGATACATTGCCAACGCATAAAAATGTCTGTGATAATAGAAACTGCTGCTGAGATTCAAATCTAATCAGGAAGTGAATAATCTGTCTTCATCTCACTTGAAAAAAGGAAGACTTAAAGTACTTCCTTGTGATTTCTGCACCATCTTTATTCTGTGCCACTAATATGCAATGAGAGGACAAGTTAAAAATGTAGTAATCAGGATCTGGTCATCAGGCTTAGGGTTGTTCTGGGAAAGTGCAATGGCTGTGTCAGAACCTCAGCACTGAGAGACAGGCACCACAAACAAGAGTTGCTGCACAACGAAATACAGTCTCAATAGCAAACCCTAATATCCTGATCATCAGTTTCAGGAAATGCACATTCAATACTGTGGAAAATAACAGTGCAGGCTTCCATGAGCTGCCAATCAGCTAGGATAATCAAGGAGAACATGGGCGTTCTGACACCACCAATGGCAAGTGTAACAGCTGTTCCCACTACAGTACAATCAGCTCTTACCATTTACAATCATTTTTAAGCAAGTTGAACACGGTTTTCTGGAAAAGTAAAGATCACAGTTTTTAAGTCTTGATCCATGTTTAATGAGCGCGATCTGACCAGCATGCAGGTCTGGACTGGAACAATGAAGACCAATGATGGTCATGTTTTTCACCACAACCAGACCGCTCTTCTTTACCTACGGAAAACAACGCATGGTTATTAGCATTACGTCCACAGGGAGATCACAGCTTGTCCCTGCTAACACTCACCCACCAGGAATGGAGTACGTTGCTCCCCGGTACAAATTCTCATATGGATCATTAAATAACCTCTGCTGTATTTCCACTAAGCACTGCCTACATGTGGATCTTAATACCTGAGTGCTGTGTCTCTGTCAAACCTCACACCAACACTTGTCACCAATTCCTGTTTTTTTCTGACCATAGCTTTACCCATTAGAAAACTCAGGAGCTGCACAGAAAATTCCATCAACTACAACTTAAAGCCTCTCTCAATCACTCAGCTACTGTAAGTGCTGATGATTTCAATTTCCGTCTTAATCTTGATCATCCTGGGACCCAATAGGTCCTCTAGTTTTATTTCTGTTTTTTCAATTATAGACGTGAATTGCGGTTCTAAATAAGGAAAAAGCCTGCAAGTCATAGACAAGAGCTCTTACATCTGGATTCCCACATGTTGTGAGGAAACTGAATACTGCCTAGTTTGATCACAGAATCATAGAATGGCCTGAATTGAAAAGGACCACAATGCTCATCCGGTTTCAACCCCCTGCTATGTGCAGGGTCACCAACCACCAGACCAGGCTGCCCAGAGCCACATCCAGCCTGGCCTTGAATGCCTCCAGGGATGGGGCATCCACAGCCTCCTTGGGCAACCTGTTCCAGTGCGTCACCACCCTCTGTGTGAAAAACTTCCCCGTAATATCTAACCTAAACCTCCCCTGTCTCAGTTTAAAGCCATTCTCCTTTGTCCCATCACTGTCCACCCTCCTAAACAGCCATTCCCTCTCCCATTGATGATGCAGATCTTATTATGCAATCCAGCTGTAACCCAAACACTTGTCTGTAAATTATTCAATTTCACTGTGTTTACAGAGACAGGGCTGTACCAAACCCCACATATAACCCACGTGCCTTTCCAAACTGAATTACTGCGTTTCAACCTATATTTGAAGTCTCCATAGTGTTCATCTACCCCTCTTTCACAAACACAGCAATCAGTCTGGGACACGCAGTACAACACTCTGAAAACTACTCGTCACTCAAGTTATTATCCTATCTTTTCTTGTCCTGGTTGATATATGTGCAATGTGTCTCAGCACATGGATCTGCCGTGCACAAAGAAGTCATCATTTTAAAGAGGATAATAAGAGCTCTGACTACAGACAGAGATTCCCTGTTCCAGGACACTCTGCAAATACCCCTGTACTTCAATGTATAACTGGCAGGTATACAGAAGACTCATTCTGGAAGATGCTTTCTTTTCACTGTCACTAAGGTAGTTACCTACAAGCTCCTGATCAACAACCAGGAGTTTTGAGTAGTTCTGTGTACATTCACTGCATAAGAAAACTTCTCTACAGCCACTAACACTATCATTGTAAGGACTCTCTCTACCTCACAACCAGTGGGTACTAAGAAATGCACAACATGTTATGCTTTTCAAAATACCCACCAGCATTTTTACTGTTTGCTTCATCTGCTGGGGTTACGTCTTGCCTTTCAAGTGTTTTCACTAACAGCAGTTTGTGTAACTGTTCTGCTGTTTTTCTCTCACCGCATTTTCTTCTACCTCTAAGTAAACTCGAAAAAAACCTGTCAGCTTTTTCTTTTTTCTTCTCCAGACTATCCACTCTGTACAGAGTAGTTAGGTTACAAAGCTGTCAGCATCTGTTCAGAAAGACCAATTAACAGTAAGCTCTGATGTTTTACCTGTGATTTCTTCTGTTGTTCGGCAGAAGGAAAGAGTTCCATCCAGAGACTGAACAAAGTAAAAAGATTGACCTTAGAAAGCCTGGGTATTTGGCCTGCCATTAGAAGAAAAAAGAAATAGTTATTAAAGAGTATTTACAAATAAAAATGACATTGTTTTAATAACTAAGACGTATATCCTAGTCATGGGGGTGCCATAGAGGAGATGCTAGCAACCTTTCCAAAGTGGCACACCAGATTCCATGTTTCTTTCCTAGGTTAGGGGATAAATTTGCTAGAAGAACACAACCAGAGCTAGAGGCGAGGTCACAGAACCATAGAATGGCTTGGGTTGGAAGGGACCTCAAGGATCACCAAGTTCCAACTCCCTTGACACGGGCAGGGCTGCCAGCCACTAGCCTGATTAAGTGGTAGGTCAGACCATCAAGACGTGGCTAACTGGCTGAGCAGCACCCTGCCTCTCCTTACCTTTATGTTACCAGATCCTACTTCTATCAGAAACATCCAGGCTTCCAGAAAGGAAAAACAGAACTGGCACAATTTCTATGTTTTACAAATTTCCTCACTTTTCATTAGCTAAACATGGAAGTTTCTGTTCTGTGAAATGATACAGAAGCGTTATAATGCAGCAAGACTTCGCTTATGATGAGAGCTACCATCAGCTTTAATGCCTTAATATATACCTCTCCCAACATCAATCCCAACTGCCACAGTTTTCTAACTCATCTGTAGGTAACAGAAAGGCTTTCCTCAGACACAAACAAAAGTTCTGATGAACATTCCACTTTGGTTACTGCAGAAACTCTATTATCAACCTTTCTGCTATGACAGCAGCCAGACTGTGGCTCTGGGCAGCCTGGTCTGGTGGTTGGTGACCCTGCACATAGCAGGGGGTTGAAACTGGATGAGCATTGTGGTCCTTTTCAACCCGGGCCATTCTGTGATTCTATGATTCTACGAAATTCCAAATTACTTCTGGAAAGTAAGTCAAGCCAGAATGTTTGCAGCAAGATAATTCTACTCAAAGGTGGAAAGCATGAACCGCAGAGCAGATCCCACGTAACTTCAGTTCATGTTACCAAATGATTCCCAGATGCTGACAGAAATGTGAGACATATCTCATGACTCAGCTTCAGGCTCACCACACGGAGAGCTATCCCAGCACACATCATGGTCTTACACTGACACCTTCTGCATGACAGGACATGCCACTGTGCAGTCTTGCAGTCACACCAGTTATAGAGAAACCTGTTTCTCAATTTGTACAGACTGCTTAAATTTTGCTTAGGTTTTAACAAAAAAATTTAAACCTGTCACTGTGACTGAGTAACCAAAGGGGCAGCAAAGAACCACCATCAACCACCTTGTGCTGCTTTGAGTCTCATTTCAAAATTCAGATAGAATTCTGTAAGGCCCAGCACTCAGCATTACCAAGTGTCCCACAGCTGAAGAAGGAGCTGTCCTTACAGACTGGAAGGAGCATTCCTTGAGAGCAGCCCTGCGGAGAAGGACCTGGGGGTCCTGGTGGATGCAGAACTCAACGTGAGCCAGCAGTGTGCTCTTGCAGCTCGGAAGGTAAATGGTATCTTGGGTTCCATCAGAAGAAGGGTGGCCAGCAGGAACAGGGAGGTGAATTTCCCTCTCTACTCTGCTCTTATGAGGCCCCATCTGGAGCACTGCATACAGGTTTGAGGACCCCAGTGCAAGAAAAGACAGGGAGCTGTTGGAGACAGTGCAGAGGAGAGCCACGAAGATCATCGGGGGACTGGAGCACCTCCCCTATGAAGACAGGCTGAGGGAGCTGGGCTTGTTCAGCCTGCAGAAAAGAAGGCTGTGGGGTTTGCAGCCTTTCAGTACCTAAAGAGAGCCTACAAACAGGAGGGGAATCAACTCTTTGAAAGGGTAAATAACAGCAGTATGAGGGGAAGTGATTTTAAGTTGAGGGAGGGAAGATTGAGGTTGGATGTTAGAGGGAAGTTCTTTACACAGAGGGTGTTGAAGTACTGGAACAGGCTGCCCAGAGAGGCTGTGGATGCCCCATCCCTGGAGGTGTTCAAGGCCAGGTTGGATGGGGCCCTGGGCAGCCTGGTCCAGTATTAAATGTGGAGGTTGGTGGCCCTGCATGTGGCAGGGGGTTGAAGATTCATGATCCTTGAGGTCCCTTCCAGCTCTGGTCATTCTGTGATTCTGTGAAGGAGCAAGCACTGCATTGCTCACTAATGCTTTCGCCCTCCCTTAAAGCAGTTTTGCCTCACACGACTGGCAAGGGAGAAGGTTAGTCTAATGACAGAGCTGTGAACCCAAACATTTAGGACAGCAGTTAAACGCATACAACACATGACTGGAATACCCTTTTCAGACTGTACTTCTGCAGCATTGTTCACACAGAGGGAAGAACAAAATGAGGGCTTTTGGAAAGCAGCAACTGCCCACAGTTACAGCAGTACCACCTGATCCCACACTCACAGGGCTGCACAGCTGGGGACATCCCCTCACCACACACAAACACTATGAGAGGCCCATAATGAGCCCATTAGACATGCTTGCTAGCAAGCAAGTAGCACATGTGAAGATTTGTCTTCTCTTGTACTAAAAGCAAACACTAAAAGTAATTCTGGCAGCCATACTTCAATAAGCAGATTTTATTCTCTTAAACGGACATTGCACCCTCGGTAAACTGTAGATGACACCAAGATGAGAGGAAGTACTGATGTGCCTGGCAGAAGGTAGGTCCTACAGAAGAATCAGAACAGGTTGGACCAGTAGGCTGAGGCCAATTGTATAAGGTTCGGTAAGACCAAGCACTCCTTGGTCACAACAACCCCGTGCACTGCTACAGGCTTGGGGCAGAGTGCCTGGAAAGCTGCACAGAGGAAAAGTATCAGAAGGTGTCAGTTGACAGCTGGCTGAACATGAGCCAGCAGTGGCCAAGAAGGCCAATAGCATCCTGGCTGGTATCAGCAATAGTGCAGTCAGCAGGAGCAGAGAGGTGGCTGTTCCTCTGTACTCAGCATTGGTGAGGCAGCACCTCGAGTACTGTGTTCAGTTTTGGGCTTCTCACTACACTGAGGTTCTGCTGTGTGTCCAGAGAAAGGCAATGAAGCCTTGAGGGGTCTGAAGCACAAATCTTATGGGGAGCAGCTGTTCAGTCAGTAGAAGAGGAGGTTGTGGTGAGGCAGGGGTTGGCCTCATCTCCTGGTAACAATGACAGGACTAGACATAAGAGCCTGAAGTTGCACCACAGGAAGCTCAGGTTGCATATAAGGAAACACATCTGCTTAGAAGGAGTGGTAACACACCAGCACAGGCTGCCCAGGGAGGTGGTGCAGTCACCAGGCCTGGAGGTGTTCAAGAACTGTGTGCATGTGGCACTAAGTTAGTGGACATGGTGGGGATGGGCTGACGGCTGGACTGGATGATCTTAGCAGTCTTTTCCAACTTCAATGATTCTATGACATTCGAGTTCATCTGTGTTACAGCCCCACGTCACTCACTCACATTTACAATACCCAAATGACAAGCTAAAAAAACCAGCAAAATTTATTTCACCTCGCATGTCTACCATCATAATTTCTAAAATGGATTGCAATCTATCATACAGAGTAGACCCCAAATAGAATATGCCAGAAGCAAATTGAAACTATTGGTTTATTGGACCTTATCTGGGTGCAAGATGTTGAACACATGAAAAGCAAACAGAAAAAAGCACAGAGTCTGCTTCCTGTTGTGAATAGATATAGATTTATCATGAGAAGCAGGAGGATATTATGATGAAAAAGGAAAGAAGGAAGGTCACAGTTAGCATTTCCACGCATCTGCATCTTCATTCATTTGCTCTTTGCTAACAAGAGCAAAGCCAGGCACACTCTTTTCTGATGCATCAAAGCCTCAATTTCCCTATTAACACAGCCCATCCTCAAACACAAGGCACGATTTTCCTCTTGCAGGTCAAAGGCCTCACTGCAGTGAGGGAGAGTGTGTTTAAGGAACACGAGCTGTGAAGGGCAATGCTGAAGGCACCGCTGTGGGGCATGTCCATGAGATGTGGCTCAGAATGTAATTATGCCTGATTTGCAATGTGGGAATCCGTAGTTCAAAGTCTGAATGTCTCGTAAGACCATATCATAGAAAAACTAACACTGCTTTGAATGTCGTTAAGGAAGAGATCAGTGATATCCTTATGACCTTAAAGCACCTGGAAAGGGAAAACAGAAGACATGTGCAGAGCAAAACTGCAGTGAGAGTGGGATTCTCATAGAGACAGCCGGACACAGCCCCCACTGCCTGCCAGGAGAGCCAGCAGGTCTCAGCCCAAAGCTGTGCATGAATCATAGAATCAGTAAGGCTGGAAAAGACTACTGCAATCATCCAGTCCAACTGCCAGCCCATTTCCTCCATGTCCACTAACCACATCACTCAGTGCCACATCTACATTGTTCTTCAACACTTTCAGAGATGGGGACTTCACCACATCCCTGGGCAGCCTGTTCCAATGTCTCACTGCTCCTTCTGAGAAGAAACTGTCCCTAATATCCTTCCTCAACCTCCCCGGCAAAGGTTAAGGTCATTTGCTCTCATCCTATAGCTGTTACCTGGGAAAAGAAGCCAACACCCACCAACCTGCTCTCAGATCATTGTAGAGAATGATAATGTCTCCCCTGAACCTCCTCTTCTCCGACTAAATAATTGTAGAATGTCTTAGGTTGGAAGGGACCTTAAAGATCATTAAGCTCCAAGCCCCCTGTCAAAGACAGGGCTGCTACCCAGCAGCTCAGGCTGTCCAGGGTCCCATCCACCTCCAGGGATGGGGGATCCACAGCTTCTCTGGACAGCCTGTGCCAGGACCTCACCATCTGTGACCAAATAATTTTTTCCTGATATCTACCCTAAGTCTCCTGTCTTTTACTTTAAAGCCATTCCCCTTCATCCTATCACAATCAACCCGTGTAAACAGTCAGTCCCCCTTCTGCTTATAAGCTCCTTTCAAGTACTGGAAGGCCACAATGAGGTCTCCCTGGAGCCTTCTCTTCTCCATGCTGAACAAGCCCAATTCCTTCAACATTTCCTCATAGAGATGCTTCAGCCCTATGAGTTTCTTTGTGGCCCTCCTCTGGACCTGCTCCAACAGCTCTGCACCCCTCCTGTGTTGTGGGTCCCAGATCTGGATGCAGTATTTGCAGATGGGGCCTTACAAGGGCAGAGCAGAGGGAGACAATCCCCTCCTTCTCCCTGCTGCCACCCTTCTGTTGATGCAGCCTGGGATGCGGTTGGCCTTTTGAGCTGCAGGCACACACTGCTGGCTCATGTGCAGCTCTTCACCCACCAAGACCCCCACGTTGTTCTCTGCAGGGCTGCTCTCAATGAGTTCATTCCCCAGTTTGTACTCCTATCTGGGACTGCCCCAGTCCAGGTGCAACACCTGCACTTGACCACTTCTCAAGCCTGTCCAGGTCCCTCTGGATGGCATTCCTTCTTTCCATTGTGCCAACCGCACCACCAGCTCGGTGTCGCCACCAAACTTGCTGAGGGTGCACTGGATCCCACCGTCTGTGCCATTGATAAAGGCGTTAAAGAGCACCAGTCCCAGGAATGGACATGTGGGACACCACTCACGACCGGCCTCCACCTGGACACGGAGCCAATGACAACGACCTTCTGGCTACGACCATCCAACCCCCTTTTAGCTGGACCCTACAGCCCAGCCAAACGATCCCATCTCCCTCCGCAGCTCCCCAGCAGATCTGTGCTCCAGACCCCTCACAGTTCAGCCGCCCCTCTCCGGACACGCCGCAGGCCCTCAGCGCCTTCCTGCAGGGAGCTGCAGTCTCGCAGCACCCACAGCGCCGTGCAGGAGCTGCCCAAACCCGTCCCGGCCACAAGTGGCTCTCCGCTCCCTCAGCGCCCAGCCGCAGCCACGCTCAGGCCGCGCGCTAAGGCCGGCCGTTTGCGGCCGCTCGCGCCTCGCAGCACCCCGCCCCGGGGCGCCTCGCGGCGGACGCGTGGCGGCGCTCACCAGCCATGCTGTCGGTCTGCGTGCTCGCCGCGCTCATTCGCGGCCCCCTCGCCGCCGCCGCCTCCTCCTCCTCGTCCGCGCCGTGCATCGGTGCCGGTGCCCACAGCTCGCCCCGCCCCCATAGCGCCGCCGCTCCTCCCCTCAGGGCGGCGGAGCGGCGAGGGCGTCCCCATGGCAACCGCCGCTGACGGGCGGCTGCTTCGGCCAATGGGAGGCGAGGGGGTGGAGGTGGGCGCGGCTTGCCTCTGGGGGGCGGGCAGGGGCTGAGGGGTGTCTAGGCGCGGGGGGGGGGGGGGCGTGCGTGCAAACTTTGCAGTATGTAGTCATAGAGCTGCTTGACTACGGATGGACCCCTGAAGGCCATCCGCTCCAACTGCCCTTCAGTGAACAGGGATACCTGCAGCGCCATCGGGTGCTCAGAGCCCATCCAGCCTGACCTTGGGTGACTGCAGGGATGGGGCATCCGCCACTCTCTGGGCAACCTGTGCCACTGCCTCACCACCCTTGTAGTAAAAACCCTTCCTTAGAACCAGTCCAAATCTCTCCTGTTCTAGTTTGAAACCATTTCCCCTTGTCCTCCCACAGCAGACCCTGCTAAAGAGTCTGTCCCCTTCCTTCTTACAGCCCCTGTTACTGAAAGGCTGCTCCCAAGTCTCCCTGGAGCCTTCTCTTCTCCGTGCTGAACAGCCCCCGCTCTCTCAGCCTGTCCTCATTGGAGGGGTGTTCCATCCCTTGGATCATTTTGGTGGCTCTCTGATGCATTCCAGCAACTCCACGTCCCTCCTGTACTGAGGATTCCACATCTGGATGCAGTACTCCAGGTGAGGCCTCATAGCACAGAGCAGAAGGGCAGGATCAGAACTTGTTAATTGGGCTGTCCAAGGTCACAGAGAGAGAAAGGTTGGGAGATAAAAAGGGTTTTTTGTGTTTAAACTACTGTCATGTTGTCTTGAGTGAATGGTTGAGAGCTTCAGCGCCTACTGGATATCAAATACCTGCATTGGGCTGCTGAAAGATGAGCTGCTTCTACATGGTTTGACTGCCTCTGTTCATGGTCTAACAGGTTAACAGAATAAACCCAGACTTCACATTTACTGTCTTTTCTTTTATGGGGAGAATGAATTGTAATTAACTGGATAATTCTTATTGATTCCAAAAGAGGCAATGTAATAACTTTGAGATTTGGTAACATAATGCAAGGGAGTTACTTCATTCCACAACTATATATCTCTATAAAGAAGCCATCAGTGACCACTGGAAGAAATGTGTGTTCCTGAAAGTGGTTGAGGTGTCAGTTAAAAGTACATGAAGTCTTATGATTCCAAAAGAGATGTGGACAGTCTGGAGCAAAGAAAATGAAAAGACTCACTTATATGCAGAGTCCCCTAATTAGCTTACTGCTTGTTTTTTCTGTTTTTCCCTCATCGAGAGACTATTTTTCTGGAGAAAAGCACGTGGGGTTCAAGGGCAGTTGTTTTTGACTCTCTGTGGTAGAGCAGAAGCAAGAAGCCAAAGACTGACACACCACTTCATACCTATGCAAAAATAACTGCCTCATCATTTCTTCCTATTGAGGAACAGCTGGGAAACGTGCTTGGATTGTGTTGGTACTCTAAACAACTGCGCTTAGCTGGAAAACAATTTTGGCTCCCTCGTTTATTGGCCAAAAATACAGTTTCAAGTTTAAGAGCTTTTTCCTTAGCAGATCGCCGCTGCCTACCTGGCTGGGACAGCCTGGCACAAAAAGGTTCCCTAGAACTCCTTGGCTGTACCTGCTGTTCAACAGATCACTGTCCAGGTGGAGGCCAGTCATGAGTGGTGTCCCACTAGGTTGTCCTGGGACTCTTTAAATTGGTACTGGTACTCTTTGAATTCTCTATCAGTGATGTGGACAATAGGATCAAGTGCGCCCTCAGTAAGTTTGTTGGTGACACCACGCTGTGTGCTGCGGTTGACACAATAGAAAGAAGGAATGCCATCCAAAGGGACCTGGATAAGCTTGATGAGTGGGTCCACAGGAACCTAATTCAAGGCCAAGTGCAACGTATTGCACTTGGGTTGGGGCAATCCCAAGCATGTGGACAGGCTGGGAGAAGAACTCCCCATGAGCAGCCCTGTGAAGGACTTGGAGTTCCTGGTGGGTGAAAAGTTGAACATGAGCCAGCAGTGTGTGTTTGCAGCCCAGAAGGCCAACTATATTCTGGGCTGCATTAACAGAGGGGTGGCCAGCAGGGAGAGGGAGGGGATTGTCCCCCTCTGCTCTGCCCTTGTGAGGCCCCCATCTGCAGCACTGCATCCAAGCCTGGGGGCTCCAACAAAGGAAAGATGTGGAGCTTTTAGTGGGAGACCAGAGGAAGGCCATGAACATGAACCAAGGGCTGCAGCACTTTTCCTATGAAGACAGGCTGAGAGAGCTGGGCTAGTTCAACCTGGAGAAGGCATGGGGAGACTTCACTGTGGCCTTGCAGTATTTAAAGTGAGTTTATAAAGATGAGGGAAATCAACTTCTTACATGTGGTAGCGACAGGGTAAGGGGGAATGGTTTTAAACTAAGAGAGGGAAAATTTAGATTCAATGTCAGGAGGAAATTTTTTACTGTGAGTGTGCGTAGTGATGCACCGGCACAGGCTGCCCAGAGAGGTTGTGGATGCCCCATCTCTGGAGGTGTTTAAGGCCAGGTTGGATTGGGCCCTGGGCAACCTAATCTAGTACTTGGTCTAGCAGCTGGCAGCCCTGCCTGTGACAGGTGTTGGAACTTGATGATCCTTGAGGTCCCTTCTTACCCAAGCCATTCTATGATTCTATGATTCTGCATTTAAATAAAACAAACAACCCTCCTCTTGGAAAGTGAGATATTGAACATCACTGTAGAATGTAGGTACTTTGGTTTATATAGGAAATGTCTGTTATTTGTTTGTATCATGCAAATAGAACAAGCTGCTCTTTCATCTTTGCAAGCCAAGCTTAAGGAATTTCTGCACCTCTGTCAGGCAAAACCACATGCATCCTGCAGCCTCATCAGTCTGCTAGTGATGAAAATATCTCTGTTGATCTAATAATTAAAATCAAGTAAGCAAACTAACAGGAATTAATGATGCTAATTAAAACAAGAGGAATCTACTGGCATCCAGCAAGATAGTGACTTCTTCATGTCCATGCACTTTAAGGGGGGGTTGCACGTACCTGTTAGGGATTGGACCTAGGAGCTCTGACTCTCCAGACTTACGGAGCTGAGCTTGCTGTACTCCATGCTCTGCTTTGCAGCCTGGGAATGAGCTGCCATGTTTTACCTCAGAAGAGTCTGCCTTCCTGTGAAGCTGTCCTTACGCTGGGTTTGTGTTTCTGTTGAAAGCAGCAGAGGGTTGATATTGCTGTGAGTGAGAATATCTTTCTTCCGCCACAATAAAAACGTGGTGTTGCTTTAGAAACAGAAAGGCAGTAGGTTTTGGATTGTGCCAGGAGGGTGAGAGATGAGAGGGGGAGATATTAAATCCCAAATCTCTGCCCATGCACTGCTGATCTACATGCCCAGAATGCATGTAATCAGTAGCTGAGGAATAAAGCATTGTTTCACCACGACATGTTAACTGGCTGCATCTTATACCCATATTTAAGCATTTTATCTGCAGTGCTGTCTGAAATTCTTTCAAAAACTTGCACATGCCATGCATGTGTGCACAAGTAAAATGATAAGTATATGAGAAAGCATTGAAGCATTGGTGCAGTGCTTTGAATCTCTGATGTTCACTCACACAAAAAATTGACTTTTTAAATTAAAAATTAATTAATTAAAAAATTAACTTTTTTAATTGCAGACACTTAGTGGTGTTTTATTTATTAAAATGCCAAGATGAGATTTCCTGTGGCTCGGGAAAAGACACGAATATGCTTTCCAGAAGTGACACAGCAAATGAAACAGCTGGGATAATGATAAACGTTTGCCAGGTGCTTAAATTCTTTTAAGATTATTCTGTATAACTCCAGAACAGATAACAGCTTGCACAAACAAACCCCATATAAATGAGCAGGGGAGCGTGCCAGTTCTCTGCAGCAGCACTCTGGAGACTGGGCATGTCTGATGCGTCCTGTCACAGGGTCTGGCTTGGACTTTTCCCCATCCCACAACAGAGATTACGTATTTTTCTTATTATGTGATTCCTTAGACAGTTTGATCCCATGTTTCAGTGATGAAGAACGCAAGATTTCCATTTTGTTTTCCTATGTAGAAACAGATGCAGTATTCCTGGAGCCCTTGCTACATTTGCACATGGAGACAGCTGTCTCCTCTCACAGACATGTACCTTATGAAGCAAGAAAGGTCTGAAAAGAAGGAAATGAAAAGGAAATGGAGTCTGGCTGTTACCAGCTCCTGAGAGGAGCTGTTTTCTTTCTCACTAGCAGCTGCAAAATGAACTGCAGTCCAAATCAGTTAGTGACAAGAAAATACCTAGAGAAGGAGCAGACCGTAAGAAGAAAGGGATTAGAAGAGTGGCTTTGTGCTGTAGAGAGCTTCTGTTTCCTGGGGCTGCTTCCAGGAACACTGGAGCAGTGGAACAGGTTGCCCATAAAGGTTGTAGAGTCTCTTCCTCTGGAGATACTCAAAACCCACCTCAACGTTTTCTTGTGCAACCTATTGTAGGGAACCTGCTTTAGCAGGGGGATGGCTGAGGTGATTCCTAGAGTCCCTCCAGCCCCTATGATTCTGCAATTCTGCATTTTCCTGTGCCTTTCCCAGCCTTGGCTGATTTCAGACATCTCCATCCTCCCCGGCTTCCTCCCCATTCCCATGTTCTGCAGGAGGCATCTCCCTTCATGCCAACCAGCTCAGAAAGCAGCAAATGTACTCTGTTCAGCATTGGCCTCTCCTGCAGCTCTCTTTCACTCTCATTTCTCAACAGAACAGGGAAAAAATACAGTGAAAGAAGGTGATGGGTTGAGATAAGGACAGGAAGATCATTTGCCAGTTGCTATCACAGGCAGAACAGACTCAGTGTAGGGAGCTAAATGTAATTTAGTGCCTATTGCTAATGTGGATGTGGAGGTGGGCATCACAGCCTGCTTGGCAGCAGCAAAGTGCTGATTGTCAAG